TCTGGTAATGGAACAAGAAGTGAAAACCCTGCCAGAGAAAGGGGCCATAGAATATGTACCCCCCTCCAACAGTGAAACCGGATTCTACAGTCGGTATTTCATCGTTCCAAAGAAGGATGGGGGGTTGCGTCGCAGTCACAGAGCAAAAAGTCTACATGTTAACCTTGAGACAAATCATGCCACAGATCTGGGGTCTCATTTATAAAACTGTGCGCAAGGATCCTTACTAAAAGTGTACGTGCGCCCGAATAAACCCCAGTCAGCCAAAGATTGTCCGCATTGTCTCCTCCCCGAAATAACCATATATGGAGCTTACGATGGCTAATTTAAATATGCATATACTCATCTGCATATAATTTGCATATGATTATTCATCCATGTGATACCATGTTAAGGTACAAGACGTTAGGAAAATATGAAATACAGATATTTTTTTTTTAGTAGCCTATAGCTTTTTTTGCCTTCAATCAAACAGAATCAAATCAAAAAGACATTTAACTCCAGTTCTCCATCGGTGTCGCCAATTCCCTTTGTCTCCAGAATAAGTGTACGCACGGCTCAAAGTTTTCTTAAAGGTGAGCACATTCTTCCGTCAAGTTTGTTTTTTATAGATCACAATCTTTGCGTGGAAACTGACGTACGTACGTTTCCAGCCCCGTTTTGTGCATCCACACGCTTTATAAATGAGACCCCAGATCATGGTTTGTCACGTTAGATCTCAAGGATGCATACTTCCATACAGTATGTTCTTTTTGGCCTGTTGTACATGAGACCCTTGCAGTGGTGGCTCAGGCTGCAACCGAGGTGTTTTTCAATTCACTCCATTCAAATCAATTATTCTCAACATGACAGACAGAGCGTAAGAAACATGCTTTTCAAATCTGGTAGTTAGGGTGAAAATATTTTATTATGAAAAAATGATGGCCCTCAAGGCTAATGCATACAAAGAGGGACTAATTAATTTCAAGTACGCCTCTCATTTGTGTCTGGTAATAGAAAAAACATACGTATTATGAGACACTTCAGATTAAGCTTATCCTGATTGTTGGCTAATGGTTATAATAACATAATGAGACGTTATAATATCCAGACATTAGAGGCTCTTTTTCCTCATCACGCCAGGTGGAGTATGAGCCTGTTATAATGGTTTGGTGTGTGTGTGTGTGAAAAAGATGGGCTAACGCTGACTAATAGATTGGAGGAGAAGTTTACACACTGCAGTTGAAAAGATGAAATATCATGGAGCCAATGCTGTAAACAAGTAAATGTCTCCATGACCTTCAGAGCTATGTCCTTGTAAAAGTAAAAAACAAATTCAACTGTTGGCAATCACTAACAGTATAAAGAAATTAAAAAAATATCTCTTCTGAAACTCCAAAGGAAACAGTTAAAGAGGTCTCGACAGAAGAAATCAAATTTGCTCTGGTCTTTTGACACATAAGAGGTCTTTGTACCATTAAAACATCCTGTTATTTTCAGAGCTTAAGACATCCTCCTCGTTACTGTATAAACAAAGCATTTATAAAATCAAGCTTGACAAAAACAGCTCGTTTTGATAGTGCAGGATGTGTGATGCACACTGGCAAACACATTTGCATATGACAACCTCCACAACAAGACATCGATGAATAGTTTTACATCATCGCACCATAGGCTCCGCCCACTTGTATTCAGTCACTTAACGGCTGACATTTGCCTTCACTGGATGTGAACGTAACATCAAAAGCAAATTATAAGCCCATTATAATCACTGACGCTGTCTACACTGGATACAGTATACAGATGCGCATTTAGTTTCTGATTTACTTCACACACTTGAGTCAGTCAACAGGACAAATGAACAAGTGAAAGAACGTTTCAGTTTAAACAGTTCATTTGGGGGAAACAAGTGGATGGTTTATTTGAATGGCGTCATTGGATCGTGTCGGAGGATTTTATGTTTGTTCGGAGCTTTTTACTGCAGATTGTTTTGGTGACGATGCTCAGTGTAATGAAGAGTTCACAAAGAAACTTTAATTGACAGTTGAAGCAGTTAGCAGTATTGGATCTGACAGCAGTTACATCACGAACCGTAAATAAACGTTTTCATAATGCTTTGTCTGAAAATGACGATTATATATAGATAATGTTTTCAAACACTTACTCATTCAACACTCTCTCCTGTTTTTTAGCTCCATCTCCTAGACCCCTCCTGGTTTGTTATTTCTCCCGGGAAACTCCCCTAATTTGCATGCCCCAAACGCCTTTATGAATAATCGGACCAATATGTTGACCAGTTGCCAGATCTTGTTTTAAATGCATTATATTGACACAATCCACACATAAACATTTGAAGAGTTCAGATGCAAAAGCCTCTAAATGCCATTTGAAATTTTCTTCTAAAATGATCATTTTTATCAAGCTTGTATATTTAAGTTCAGTAATTTCACTTAAATGGCAATGAAGATTACCTATTAATTGTCATTTAAGTGAAATTACTGAACTTAAATACACAAGCTTGATAAAAATGGTCATTCTAGAACAAAATTTCAAATGGCACTTAGAGGCTTTTGCATCTGAACTCTTCATTTTTAACCCGTTCGTCATCTCAACCTGGCAACCTATCTCCTGGATTTTGAAAACCAAATGTTGACAGCTATGGTGATGTCTACTGACAAGCCTTTTGTACAAAAGCTTTACTAACATTATAAATGAACCTCAAAGAACAATAATTTAAGGCAACACACTTATTCCAGGTGAATAGGATCAAAATTTTAATTTACAGATGTCATCATGAAACTTGAATAGTTGATTACTCGCATAAATAGGAGAAAAAAATGTATTGCAAGTTTTCTGTAATTTTATGTTTAAATTAGGGCTGTGCAAAAGTTAATTGCGATTAATCGCATCCAAAATAAAAGTCTGTTTTACATAATATATTTGAGTGTGCTGTATATAATTATTTTGTATATATAAATACCTATGCATGCATGTATATATTTAAGAATTATTTGCGCTTAAATTCTGTATATATATATAAATACATAATCTATATTATACAAATATAAATATTTTATATAGGAATAACACATTTTCTAAAACATATACATGCATGTGTGTGTATTTATATATACAAAATAATTATATACAGCACACACAAATATACTATGTAAACAGAGACTTTTATTTTGGATGCGATTAATCGCAATTAACTTTTGCACAGCCCTAGTTTAAATATAAGTGATGAATCTGACCATTGAAAAAAACAAGGTTCAAAATTATGTTTGCATTTTGTTGATATATTCAATGAAAAGACATTTTCAGAGGGGATTATGAATATCTCCTTTTGTTACCAAATCAGAAAATACTGACAATAGCCTTAAAAATTAGATTTCCGCCCTATTTTTAGGCATAAAATGTCATATAACTCAGGCCAAGAGTGATATATCAACATATCCCTCTGAACAAACCTTCACTATATAGTTCGGAATACGGCTGTAAAGTTTGGTGTATGTAGGTGCTACAGAAGTGGAAAATCGACATTAGAAGTATGAGAAAAACTCATTTTGAGAAAATGGCCTTTAAAGATTTTTTTATGGGATTTATGAGATTTATGGGATATTTCGAGTTAAATTGCCCATTTTACTTTCATGATTGGTTGCTGATAAACAGGAAATGACCATATTTGGATCCCACAGCATTGAAGAGGAGAGAGAGAGCTTTCTAACCATAGACAGTAAAAGAAATGGACACAGCAACCCCGTTGATTTCAACGGAGAGAGTTGAAGCTCAACATGGGCACTCACTTCCTGATAGCCTTCTATCCTGAAAGCGTTCTGCACTGAGCTTGACGACGTAGATGTCACGTGAGCAAACTGACTGACAGTTGTAAATCTTTTAGTAGCTGTGCCAAGACAAATTTTAATCGTGAACAGAGACGGCGAAGCACGACCTGGAGCACTTTTGGTAAGTATTCTGATTAATTATTTTGACATTTTGCTTCTATATATGCCATGGGCTGACTTTAGACAGTAAAAGATTGCCTGCGAGGCTGTGCGAGCTTCTCCTCCTGTCTATACGGTAATTTTCTACTGTGCGACGGACAGTCGAGTGGTTATGACGCAATCTTTAGCCTATTTTTACAAGAACGGCTTCTACGTGGCCATAACGTAACATACAAAGTAATGGAGCCTTTTATACATTTTGTCGTGTTTCTTTAGAAATAATTAATGGATAAATGGAGTCTTTGGACGCCTCAGATGTAAAGTTATTCGCTGTCAAAGTGACCAAAATGAATGGGAGTCAGTGGGATGCTAACAGCAGGTGATAGCTCGCTACAATGGCGGCCCCCGGAGGCAGATTCAACTTCCGGCTGATGGATTACCCCCTTGTTTCTAATGGTGTGTGCGATGACAGGGTGCGGATTGTGATCACGGAGCAGCGGGATGATTTAGAATGCCAACTTTTGAGGAATTTAGGCGAAATCTACACACGCAAACAGACAAAGTGTAGTAAAATAAAGACCTAAATGTGTATTTAGGTCTGAAAGACGACATGTTATTGAATACAAATAGCCCAAAATCTCAAAATTGACCTGTGGAAAAAAAACGATTTGTCAATGTTTTTTTTGCCTGCCGTGTCTCGCCTTAAAAAACTTAAAAAACATGTCATGACCCCTTTTAACGGGAAGCTGCACTTTTTTTTGGAAATAGGCTCATTTTACAACTCCCCCAGAGTTAAACAGTTGGGTTTTACCGTTTAAACCAGACAGTTTCTGGTCCCATTGACTTCCATAGTAGGAAAAAATATATACTATGGAAGTCAATGGGACCAGAAACTGACTCGTTACTGATATTCTTTTAAATATCAGAAAATCGGCTGAATGGATTCGAAAATGATAAAACTCAACTCTGGGGGAGTTGTAAAATGAGCCTATTTCCAAAAAAAGTGGAGTATCCCTTTAAGATGGTAATGAGATGTCATTAGTGACTTTCTCTCCTGTGGGGAGTGTGGCTGTGTACCTGTATTCCTTCTGTGCCGGGCTGCTGTAGCAGTTTGACGGTCCTCCTCGTCACCCTCTGCCCGCGTCCTTCATGCCAGGTGAGGTTGCCCCCGGCCCTGCGTGGCAGCTGATAGTTCAGCTCCTCTGCTGAGACTGTGTGGTCCAGCGCAGCCCGACAGAAGCTGAAGCTGGACGCAGCTGTGGAGGACACATGAAGAGAGATGTTGAGCACATCCCGCCATTTCATACACGGATCATCGTCATTGTTACAGGAAGCGCCATGAATTCATTATTATGTCAATCACAGGTCATTGTGTACAACAAACTCAAAGTACTTTATGTGAAATAAAAAAGGTTTTAGCCACATTTAAAATGTATATTACTATTACAAAAAAATTAAATAATTACAAAAAAATCTATTTCAATTAAAAAATGTTATCTTTGAACGTTCTATTGATCAAAGAATTATTACGGTTTTCACAAAAAATATGCAGAAATAAGCAGCACAACTGTTTTCAACGTTGATAATAATCATAAATGTTTCTTGAGCATCAAATCATATTAGAATGATTTCTGAAGGTTCATGTGACACCGAAGACTGGAGTAATGATGCTGAAAATTCAGATTTGATTGCAGGAATAAATTACATTTTAAAATATACAAACATTGTATATTTTAGCCAAACATTTCTTAATTGTGACAGCCAGTTTTTTTCACACAGTTTTCCAGCACTTACTGAAAGTGATCAGAACAGAAATTCAGAATAACAAAAAAGACACTTTACATTGTACGCAGACAAACACACACAGACACGTTAGCTAGTAAACGGCAAGTTTTCTAAGCATATGGCACATGTATGATTCAGTGCCTGGCAACCCAACATGCCAAATCAGCAAACATGTGCTTAAAGTCCATAAAAATAGAAGAATAGGCATTGATTCTTCCTCTAAGTGGCCATCGAGGGACGATCTTTAACCCTGCAGATACAGGAGACGGGTGAGGTGTTTCAGGTCATGGACCCTCTGAGCAGTATGTCTGTGTGCGTGTGTGTATAAAAATGCAAATGAAGCACATCAGTATGTCAGTGTCTGTTTGTTATGCCAAAACATAATTATCATATACAGGCTCTTCCATGCATACAAAGTATCAGCATCTACCTACTGTGTAATACTATTGTGAAGCGTATATGCAATAGAAAACATTTCAAACAGTCGCATGCTTCATTGTTGTCACAAACCTTAGCAAAAAAGTTATCATCTCCGTGAATAACTGAATTTTAAGGGGGGGAAAATAATAATAATCACACTGAGAATAGACGGTGAATTATTCAGCTCATGTTGGCAAATATAAATCCAAATAATATTGGAGTGTGTTTTACAAGAAAATACTATTTCAGTCTTTCTACTTCAAAATATCCCCTTTAATTAATTGCATTACTTGCATTTTCTTTTATAATATTTGTGAAATTTACTAGCGATTTCTAAATGACTGATATTCCATGCATATGGGTCAGTCTAATGTTATGTAAAACATGTGAAAAGTGTATTATGATAATGAAACTCAGGTGAAAAATATACTTGTCATCACAAATAACATGAATATGTTATTCCATAATGGATGAATCAATCACAATAAGATCTTCAACATGCATTCATAAAACCACTAGAGTGACTTTATTGGTCCTAAAAAATAAGAAGCAGTTACACTTTATGTTAAGGTGTCATTGTTACAGTGTAATTATATTTATACTGAGTAATAATAATACACCACCATGTACTTACATGCACAGAAGGCCCTCCTCTTTCCAAAATCTAACTAAATTGAGTTGATCAAACTTAAAGAAATTTCAAAGATGACACTATTTAAAATATTTTATGTTAGACTCATTAAATATATGAAGAGTTCAGATGCAAAAGCCTCTAAATGCCATTTGAAATTTTCTTCTTTAATGATAATTTTTATCAAACTTGTATATTTAAGTTCAGTAATTTCACTTAAATGACAATTAATAGGTAATTATCATTGCCATTTAAGTGAAATTACTGAACTTAAATATACAAGCTTGATAAAAATGATCATTCTAGAATCAAATTTCAAATGGCACTTAGAGGCTTTTGCATCTGAACTCTTCAAATGTATTACTCCTAATTAGATACGTTTAGTAAAGTAAAGTGAATGAAATGTAAATGTGTGTATCTATGAAGGGCCTGAATAGTACAAGTAGTATATAGTTCTCTCACATTTCCCTTTCGCCGTTCACACTCAGCTTTATCCAACCAACCCAACACCAAAAAAAAAAAAAAAAAAAAAACTACCAATGTGCTTGTAAAGGCCGTTGGTCTATCTTTTTTTCTATTTCTGACCCCTGGCTTTCCGTGTATCTACTCTCCCACTTGGCTTTCTTATAAGCTCTTTTTTTCCCCCAGCGTAGCTAATGTGATCAGTGCTACGAGAGCCCTTGGTAAGTACAAAATATTTAATGAAGGGTAAAAGATGATACGAGCGCATATCAGCACGTAAGAGATTTAAAAAAAAAAAACAATTCAGAGAAGAAGAGAAAGAGGGAGCAAGAGATCAAAAGTGAGGGAAGACTGTAAATAATACATTAATGGCCATTCACAAAACCTCACAAAGGCCTGAGGTAGCCCTACACGGCTTGGAAAAAGTTTTGTTTGTCTGGTTAAGCTGGTCTCAAAGCTCTTTGCGTAGAGTCTCGTTGTGTGAACAGCTCGAGCCCATTGTGTTTCAAACAGAGCTGCAGTCACCGGTACATCTGTGTTAACCGAAGTACTATAAAAGTGATTGTGGGAAAATGGAAACTCTGGGAAAAACCCTCGAGAAGATGCTGACAGCTGAAACAAAAGTGTTTCAACCCATCAAAACCATTCCAAAGGGCAGGTCAAGTTCATAGTGTAATCATTGGGGTGATGGGAAAGACGGATCGTGGAGCTGTTTGTCAGGGTTCAGTGATGCGTTTCCTGTGTCTGCTTTTCTCTCTCTCTCTCTCACTCTTTCTCTCTCTCTTGGGCAGTCAGGAAACGAAAGCCGAGGGCTTATTACTGCCACTCAAATCCGTCGGAGGCAAAAATTAGAGCTCTCTACACACTGAGATGGATAAGAAACACATCCCATGAGTCAAAGAAAGGGGTGTGGTTAAGTACAGCATCTGTCATCCATAGGGGGTTGTGGTTAAGACTGATATTTTCTCTGGATATCTTACACAATCTACCCATCTGTCCAAATCTCTGTCAGCATTTCAATCCCACAATACAAAGTTCCACTTGGTATCCCAGAAGGAGACACTGGCTGCGGCTAAAGATGCTAACATCTCTATATAGTAGGCGAAAATATGACTGAAATCTTAGCATTCATAAAACAGTAGGTGAAATTTATCCGGATTGTGACGGATCTGACACAATCTATATAGATGTTCTGGAATGAATTGGTTAAGAGAATAATTTAGTCGCCCATGAACACACACTGGCTGTATTTAAAATCACCTTGTTCAATATTCCCAACATTACTCCACTCAATGAGTGAATGAAAATGAGTGAGTGAATTTAGACACTGAGGGTATAGGGGGACACTAAACCAATGAATTCAGAGATGCATACTAGCATACCATTCTTAGCATTTTTACCATATCTTTCTATGGTAGAAAAGAGCGATTTTTGACCCAAAATGAATCAATATTTTTGAACTATTTGGTTAAGTGATTGATTCAATGAGAGTGAACACCTTCAGCCATTCAGATTCGATTTATAAATATATTATGAATCTATAAACAATAACTTGTGTTTCTTGGAACTATACGTTTGCAATTCCATTGCATACCAAGATCAAATTGTTGATTTTAGACCAATCTTTACCAAGAAATAAGTCAGATGAGGCATTCTCTGGAGTCTGGACAACTGATGACTTTGATACAATGCCACTGTGTCTCTTTGTCTCTAGACTAGTGTAGATAATGCCATGGAGACAGTCTGGTGTAATATTAGGAAGCAAGAATATTTCTGACCCCTCAGAATGTGAACTTGGCCAGAATTGATCTTCAAATAAGTGCTCAAGTCCTTCAGAAGAAGACAAAAGGCGTTCTCGACACCACCATCAGAAGAGGGGAGGGGAGGAGGCAGAAAGGAGAGGTCAAATGTGGACAAAAGTCTGAATATTTTCATTAAATATTCTGGGAGGGAGATGTACAAAGCTCTTTGAGTGCTGATGCAAGGCACTAAACCGCTTAGATACATGTAATAGAAGACAAAGAAAGAGAGAGAGATGGAAACAGGAGCAAGGACCGTTAAGTAAATGCAAAGAGAGAGAGAGCTGGGATCCAAAGGCAAATGCTTTCGACCCTGAAAAAGAGTCACTCTTCTGCCTGATGTGATTGATGGAATGGCTTAGATCTTCTCCTGCCACCGCAGAAGAAGATTAATCATGAAAGTTTCCAAACTTCATTTCAAATTTCCTTACTTTTTTAACAGTCATTAGCAAGCAATTAGCCTGTGGTTTGGTGTGGCTTGTGGGAAGGTCATACAGAGCCAAAGCCCAAGGTAAATTACCACAGCGCTTTTGGAAAAACTCATTCCTTCCTGAAGAAGAAACTCCTCTTATGAGCTGAGTGAACTTTCCCAGAGGCTCCGAGACTCCTTCACCTATCAAGTTGGGATCTAGGCACAAGCTTCATCCCTTCAAAAATGGCACTTTCTTCCTGAAGAACTGGACAGAAAACTAAAATAAATACTTAACATGAAAAAAGAACATTTTAAAGCGATACTCCACCGTTCTACATATTAAAGGGGTCATGAACTGGCTTTTTAAATTTTATTATATTGTAGTCTGAGGTCAACTTATGACGTTCGTTTGGTTTTTGCATTCAAAAACATCAAAATGAACAAGTCATAGGCTATTTTCTACCCTAGTTTTGAGCCTAGCTCAAAAACGCTCTGTTTTTATGGGCGTCTCGCACTGAAGTGAAGACACCTGGAAGTAAACGCCCACTGCTGTGAGTGGATAACAGTTTTGCATATTATAATGAGTTTTAACTCACCCGTCGATGCACTTGGGGGAAATTGTTTTGAAAACGTTCAATGTTGTAAAATGGCAACCGGAATGATTCGACCAATACATGTTCGACCCAGAGTCCGTGTGTTGCACAATTCCTGTCGGATCCAATATAGACGGCACAGCACCGTTCTTTA